TTTTTTCTTTTCTGGAAATTGTTTAGTTAGAGGAACATAGTCATAATCACTATGTTTGAGAATATCACTGGAATTTTTTTTTAAATAGTTGTTTATCCGACATAAATGTGGGCTATTTAAATCAAATCCTGAGTAATTTCAACCTGAGATTCGTTATGCTAATTTGTTGGCGTTCCCTTTCGCAGCTGGAACCTGTCTATGACAATATGGGTCCGAGGACGACGGCGGATGGGAGCTCGGTCCTCTCACTCAACAAGACCGGCCTGGACTCTCCAGTGCGGGCGCCCGCCCCGCGACCCGCCCCGTTCCAGCCGCAGCCCAGCCCTCTGCCTGCGTACTACGCACCCATCGAGGAGCTGGACCCCATCACGTCACCCGCCATGAGGCCCAACGGCCACGGCCAGACCAACGGCCACCACTACGGCGTCGGGCGGCAGACGACGGCGTCCCCATCCCCGAGCATCGCGTCGTCCAAGTTCACTTCCCCCACGGCGGAGAAGAATGGACGGCGGGGATCTTGGTCCCGGATCTCCCCCGAGTCGACGGGGACCCTGGGGAGGCCATCGGCGGGCAGCCGGCTTGGTGAAGAGGACTCGCTCTTGATGCCCGGGACGGTCAAGAGGCCGACCTCGATAGCGTCCATTTCGTCCGCGAACTCGACCACCCCGCTGACCAACGGTTCGGCGGGGGCGGCAATAGTGAGGACGAAAGTGCCCCCCAAACCCCCACCAAAGCCCAAAAAGAAGGTCGGGCCCTTGTTTGAAGACGAGGGCGAGGACGGGACAGAGGTGTGACGACCGGCTCTCCGGCGGCGCTCTGCGCCCCCGTGGCCCTCGTGGCCCCCCACAGTGTTATGCCCGCGCCCGCGCTCGGGTATTCCTGGAGGTTCCTCCGGAGAGCGCACCCAGTGTGTAGTGTCGACTGCTGGACTAGTTAGGGTGTGTCTGTCTTCCGTGATGCTGGCTGACTTGTAAGCCCTGCATTTCTTGTCCGCTGGATGCAGATGCTTGTGATTTTCTTGATTACTAAGTGGATGTAGACTGGTACGTGATTGAACTATTTCTAATACTTGGTATTTTTAATTTATTTTATGTGGCGACAAAGCTTTCTTATTTTCTGCCAAAATTTATGGAAAATCATTGGTTCAAATTTTGCTATGATTCTTTTATTAACACTTCATTTGACTCAAGATTTTGAGGAGTGCATTGACATGCATATAAACATTTGCTTGAGTTTTACGTTTTTTAATTTGGCGTGTTTTATTAAGAGTAAGCCACCACATTCTATGTTTGTTTGATTTTTATTATTTTTTAAATTAAGGTTTACTTGCACACTTTTCCTAACTGTGATAAAATTGAATCTATTGCTATTGGTACACAATCTATTGTTTTGGTTCAAATTATTTGTGTTTGTAATTTGAGGAGGTAACAGCAATACCTGTTATAACTATGGAGTTAACACCTGACTTAAACAGCTAGACTATGTCTTTTTTTTTTTCTTTTTGTGTGTTTTAATCCAACACTTTGACTCTTTGTAATTAAAGAATGTTAGATTAGATACTGAAAATTCTCATCAGTAAACTTGCCAATGTTACATATCTAGCTTGATGTTAGTCCTGGTTTTCAAACTCCATTCATAAGCAAAATTCAATATTTTCTTTAATTGAATATCCTTTCCAATTCTCTCAGGATGCTCCTCATTTTCTTTGTCAGAAAAATTGGTTTTCTAAACAGAGGTACTTTGTTTTGCTGTGTGTTGGCTCTCAAAATAGATATTACGGTCATTCCTGGTCCAAATCCTATTGAAAACACTTTATTAGGTATTTGATATTCCAGAATCCAGTGCATAGAGGACTGGTATTTGACTGAGTACTTCATCAAATTCTGTGAATTTAAAACTAAGTGTGCACGCCTTATAGTGTAAAGAGCCAAACTATCAGACGTATGCATATAAATTATATATGTACAATCTATGTTAAAATATGTACAGTGTAATATAGAATGTTTGTACTGCAGTGCCTTGAAATTAAATATTTTTCATTCCAATTTTAAGTATATACATATGATTGAGTCTTCATGATAATTATGAATTTGTTGTGTACTTGTGCGACAAAGTGTGTGTATGTATGGTTATGAAAATTATATTGTATAGCATGGTAAAGTCAAAAAGATATAATTTATAGCTTAGGCTTTAAAATGTTTTTATTGCTGATATAATTATTGAATGGACCGAAGAACAAGGAATTTTGTAGATGCATTGTTAATTTCTTCTTTCTTTTCTTATGATTAGATATTGCAGTATTGGTTACAGTTGTTATGTTTGTTGTTTGAGGTGGAGTATTTGCAATGGGACCAAGTTTAAGAAGTACTTAAAACTCTCTTACTTTCTTTGGACATAAATCTTGTGTCTTGTTAATTTTTTTTACATTGATTCTTCATTCTGAAACATGCATGTAATTCTAGTCACATGGTGTCTTGTCCCCATGGCTTATGGTACATTACAAGCTGTAGTGTGTTATGATGACATATTTTGTCTTAAGTACCAGGTGGCCACTATGAGGTAGGCAAGGCAACCAATTTTATTCCAGATAATCACATGTCAGGAGAAGCATTTGCTGTACATTTCACCTGCACTCAACCAGTGTAGAATTAGTTGCCCTCAGAAGTATTACGACAGCTGATTTGGACCACCTTGTACCTCCATAGTGCAGAACATGTGTATTACATATATGAGGATGTAATGCTGTTAATTTTTCCTCTTTTTATTTAAAGTAATCAGCGAAATGTATGTTGTGGTTATTAGAACACTGCATTCCTGTTCTTCCATTCATAAAAGTGTAAAAATTTCACTCTTCAGTTTGAACTGCATATTTTCTGCACTTTCTCTTTTCTGATTAAGAGACAAGTTGTCTCAAGAATTGATAAGATTTCAATTAATTTTCATTGCCATAAAATGTAGTATGTACCATACTATGGAGAGTCTGAAATTTAAAGCTACACTAGATTTTGAATTGTGGATGATACAGTTGAAAGTATAATTAAAAGAATAAACTGTCCTCTCCGTATAGAGGGGTGCATTCCAAAACATGGCCTTAATTTTGAAAGAGAGATAATATTACAATACTCCACCTGACTTAGTTTGTTACTTTAATGTTTTCAATTCATTACCATGTTCCTAATGCAGTAAATACCAAAACTTTACTGCAGAGTTAATTTTAAAATTCTAAAAGTAATTGTGGAAGGGAACAGCTTCTTACCTACCGAGGGTGAGATTTCAGTTTTAAGTGTAATGTATTATCAATTAATGTTATGTCTTTCTATTGCCGGACCTTATATTTTCTGTATAAATGAAGCAACTCCTGATTTGATTTGATTTTTTTTTGTTTCTCATCATCATTTAATAAGTTGTGTGAATCATTTATTTTGCCATGTTTCTTTCATCACTGTATAAACAAAATTAAGACATTAGTAAATGAAATGTGTCAAACTGAAGACTTCTCTCAAAATCTACCTACCTAATAAAGTTTTAAAAGATATGATAAAATGACTGAAACCCTAAAATAACACAATTCCCTACCGTCATCATTCTCTGTTTGAGCAGAAAATAATCATCGCTTGCATAACTCTCACTACCATTAACTGTGGTGTCTTAAGGTCTTAAGGGGCCGAGCGAGTAGGCAACCCCCTATACGTCCGAATGCGGTTTCTAAAGCACAGTATCAAAGAAAGCACGGGGCCTCAGTTTCCTGGCTGGGAATACAGGGAGTACCCCCAGTCCGTGGCTGTGTTCATCGACACCCTGTACTTTACGCTAGATTCTATTTCCCGGATACTTGCAGCTTTCTTGCGGAACAGGGGCTGTCAAAATAAGATACGGTTTGGTCGACCGACCGACCGTCAACCTCGGAACGACCAGGACGACTGAACTATCGTGTCCGGGGGTTTTCTCGCACGCTGAGTCCAAATCTGGAAGTGCCGATGTCGTCCGGGCCCCCGGGGACGTCATTGGGGACCTCCCGAGCACGCCGATGACACTCGCACGAAATACGATTCGGCTCCAAACGTCGTGTACCTGGGCTGGTGCATCTTAAAAGTCACCAAATATAATTATTATGAATAGCAAATCGCCCATAATAGTTTATTATCCTGATCATTTCACTATTGTCATATGGCACTTCCCTGGCGTTGCCGCCTGGAGCCACACAACGATGCACGGGACGGGAAGCATCCCCAAAGGATCACA